ATGATCCACCAGACCATCACAGGGCTTCAGCGCGTAGGGATCAGTGTCTTCGCATATCTTCATCTTCTCCGGATAGGGGTCTTTTGCCGTGCCTTGCAGCGTCTCAAAATAAGCGGAAAAACTGGTAATCATGATGCAGACTTGATGAGGCTACACCCATGACATAAACCTATCAATCGAAACCGCTCCCCTGTACTCCAGCATGGCGGATGTTCGCTCCGCCCCTCTGTTAAACGTCATCTTGTGACGTCGGTGAAAACGCCCTATACCCTTTTCACTCACGGATACTACCCTTTTTTTTCCGGCGATAGAGAGGTCGGAGAGCGTTGAGGCGACTGTAGCCCATGACAGTAACTTTCTCCTCATCATCTCTGTACACTTGATTTCTTGCTGGGCCTTCATGGCCTGGTTAATGGTATGCCTAAAGGCTCTGCCTGTCCCAGTAGGTTCAAAGTTGTACTAAAAATCAGGATGCTTCCACCCCAGTCAGTTCTTTGGGAATTTAGAGGAATTCAAGAAAAACGAGATCGCGTGTCAACGGCTGAAAGAAGAGTATGCTTAGATTCTCGACATCAATTGTATCTGCATTCGTGTGGAGGACCAATACAACGAATGAAAACTCTTTGTGTGTGGCCTCTTCTCATACTGGTTTTCTTTCTTCAATTCAAATTCCTCAGCCTTTGTTCTGCCAACAGGTCCGACGTGGTGAAGGATTCTGGCTCCGGTCCTGTGCTGCTCATACTGTTGTTCGTTCACGTACAGTTTGATAGCTATCCTCATTAGCTGGAGAACGATTCACAAATGTTATGGTTAAGTTTAAAATGTTGCATCTTACAAACTTGCAGTGAAGGAAGGTCTTAGCGTCTTGGCGATGAAGATTATACATTGTATAATCCATTGATATATCCATTGACATTTCTGCATGCTGCATCGCGCACCATTTCCCGAGCTGTAATTGCCTGGCAGTTTTTTTTCATTGAGTATACTCTGCAGTGGGAGAAGGGAGGGGACTAATTTGGAGGTGGGAAGCACCGCTGAGAAGGTGAGAAGGCCGGAGAAGATCAAGGACTGGACAAGGACTAGATTCAAACTTTGATACGAAGAGGAAAAGCTGATCCAATGCAAAATGATGGCGAAGGAGGCCTTCAATATCATCTGCTCTACAGCCTAATATCCGTTTAGGCTTCACCTGTATCACTTTACCTGCCCTTTTTGGGCGGTGTAATCTTTAATTTTATATCGTTATATTCCAATCAAACGTGTCTTTGTCCCTTCTATTCCGAGAAAAGCTCGTTAAAATCACTTTTCATTTGAGAGACCCTGGAATTTTCATAACTGGTTCCTAATTACTGAAGAAGTTCTCCCGTTCGCTCTTGTTAACATTTTGTGCCTCACTCGAGCAGCAAAACCAGGTGGCACTGAAATAAGTTTTACTTAGCACTTTTAGATTCTCTTCATGCAAAGGTTTCCAGTTTAACCACCAGGATCTGAAGGCCTCTGATCAGGTCTGGGTAGTGAGAAATGAGAATATCTTACCCCCCCCCAGTCACGTTCAAGTCAATCCCATGGTGAAAATTTATCCTTTGATTTGCTAGAAGTTCATATTCGAAAAGCAATTAGCTCGGAATTGCGACTTTCCCGACGCATACGAAGTTATTTGTATGTGCGTATTCCCAGTTTAAAAATCCCGGCTGGAAACAGCTATAATTTCCAGCTGGACTCCAGCTGGAAATTCGGAACCATTCCAACTGGGTTACAGCTGGAAAGTACTAATCTCCAGATTTGTTCCTAACTGCTATATCACTAGCTAAATGAGAATCTTTTTGTTGACTATTTTTTCAGAGGTCCATCAACAAGAACAGCTGATTTTCAACTTTAAATGTAGCTACATTCCTGGTGTAGGGTCCTCTTAATACATTTTCAACTGGAAATTTTCCAGCTGGAAACAGCTATTAAAACCAGCTGCATTCCAGTTGAAAAATTCCAGTCAAGAAACAACTGGTACCTACTATTTTCCAGCTCTTTGCCAGCTGGAAATAGTCCGAATTTACAGATTTGGTCCAGCTGGAATATTCCAGTTGGGATTTAAACCTGGGTTGCCTTCTATTGAAGAGGGTGCTTGCAAACGTAGTTCCAGAAGTTGAAGGGAGAATCGTCCCATGCACTGCTGAACATGTAGGCACAATTTGCATCGCTATCGTCACTAGGATACTCATAGAACCATCTCTCGAAGTTTCTCGCAGTCCCGTCAACCCAGGACCAGATATGATTGTCTGAATTCCTCAAATATCCTATCCAGTAGTTGGTAGTGCCACCGAATCCAAGGATGTAACTCAAGAAGTGGTCGAAGTTTTCTTGATCCGACCACGTGATCAAGGTGGAATATTCGAACTGCTGACAATAGGACAGGGCTTGAGAGAAGTTCCGTTTCTGTTCGGAAAGCAGGAAACATTCTCGTTCGTCGCTCAGCCAATTGACGTCTGGACAAATGGAATCCTTTTTCCTGCAGATGAACTGTCTTTCCTCGCCGCAGTCGCCGTTGGCCCATTGATCCACCCAAATCACACTGTAATCGTTCCCGAAAAGGAAATTCGAGTTCCAATTTTCGAAATCCACCGGACTTCCGTCTGTCCAAGTCCAGACTTGGTCGACTTTTCGCAGCCCAATCCAGGTCGGGTTGTTTTCGGTGTGATGCCCCACAAAGAAGTTCTCCTGAGCACTGTGAAAGCTGACGAGATGCCCTCCACGTTCTATGCAGGATTCCTCGGCTCCCATCGGCGTGAGTTGGTCGTCGGAGAACCAGTAGCAGTTCCCGTCGTGTTCAAGCCACTCGTCCTCGCATCCTTGAATCAATCGCTCCGCTTCGTACGAGGAGAAAAACCCAGACCCCTCTCCGGAATCATCGGAACCGAAGGTGACTTTCATGCTATTAAAGGGTACGAAAATCGAGTCCGGGACGATCGATCCGCAAATGCAATCGGTGAAATTCCCGGCTTCTACGAGAACGAAGTCTGACAAACAGCCGGTCGATCGTTCCAGATCGAATGCATCGAAAGACAGGTGAATGCCGTATCCTTCAGGAGCTTTGATCTCCCAGTAGCAGCTGACGTCCGTCGGATAGAGAATGGGGAAGTTCGGTGACGAAAAGTTTCCTCGTCGAGCCGTCAGGGTACCACCACAGTCCGATTGAGCCAGGGACGACACAAGGGTAGGAAGAAGAAAAGCAAACGGAGTCACTGTCACGAACGTCATGGTCGTCGCTCTCAACTACAGTACGAAGAAGCCACGACTTCACCTACATAATGATGGGAAAAGCCCAGCATGGAAAAATACAAAATGCTGGCGTGAGAATTCTACCGATGGTCCTGTTTTAGACCTTATCGACTAGTAATCGCACCTGTCGATTTTCTTAAAATGTCCGACTCGGACTTATTGGTGATGTAAAGAAGTTAGAATCCAGACTGTGCACTCGTTGCTTCCTTCCTTGTACGGGAGAGCACAACTGTCGAGATGAATAATTTGGCTCCACTTAAACGGAACACATAACTGATAGCTGAATTATATATTAAGTAGGGCTGTCAATTCGATTAACTTAATCGACCGATTAATTGAATAAAATTACACTTTATTATTTAAAAAATATAAGGGGAAAAATAGGCATTCAGGGGGAGATTAGGGGGGAGATTCAAATTCAATTACTTCCGATTACATTTTTACATTGCTATTAATACTTTAATCGATTAATCGGTCGATTAAATTAATCGAATTGACGGTCCTAATATTAGGTGATACTCACAGATGGCACCGTTTGGCTAGTGAGCCAAACGCCATCTTGGTGCCTGAGGAGAGAATACGAGTGGGATGAAAAAGAAGGGACTTGAGGGGACTGAAATTTTTTTTCATCTGAGCAGTTCCCCTCTACAGGTGGCAAGCAGTGGCGTAGCGAGGGGGCGGCTGGGGGGGCTTCAGCCCCCCCAAGTTTGGTTCAAGCTCCCCCAACTCTGGTCGTCCCCCCCCCCCCCCCCACCCCGACGAGGAGAAGTAAGCCCCCCCAACGTTGCACTTTGCTCCCCCATTGTCGAAAACCTGGCTACGCCACTGGTGGCAAGACGGAAATCAGCAAAGCAAAAGCAAGCAGTGTTATCTATGAGCGGCGACTGAAAACATATAACTCGGTTTTCATTTCATAGATGTCTCGTGACGTCGGGTTCTAATATGCGGGTGCATTCATCACCCTCGTGCTTGCCTCCTCGTCGCTGATCCTGTTTTGAGATTAGATCCACGGCAACTACAAAGCGAAGTCACCTTCTGATGAGACACTGATGAGAGACCAATTTCATACTGAGTCCCGGATCTTTCTAACGGAAGCCTCTGTCTGCATGTCTGGAAGGCTCTAATCAGTGGCGAATTTCGGGTCCCGGGAAGGGAGTGTATGAGGGTTTTGATAGGTTGGGGACAAAAATCTGTGTTACGACCATATGGGCAGACGGGCATACTTGCAGTTGGAAAATTGGGGAGGGAGGGATGAGGGAAAAGTAGCTGGGGTCAGTTTGACACCATCTCACTCTCCTCCCCTCTCTTGTAAGTAACTGAAAATTGATCCTAGAAAGCTTTTATCGTTAAATCGCTCGATACCAATTTTGCGTCCAGAAATAATGCAGCTGCGTGGCTAAAAAAAAAAGATTGAACATTTCATGTACGAGAGCAATATTTTGAAAGATATTGCTCTCGGCACAGGTGAATTCTTCATTATTCCTTCGTTTCTTTACATTGTCCAGCTTCCTCTAAAATAACATTTCTGGTTTATCTTTCAGTTTTGGGGGGTTTCGATCTAATTGCCGCTTCAATTTTGAAGGGTTCTTGGATTCATTAACTAGCAGTTCACAACAAACTCTGTATTTTGGTTTCATACTTTCTGACCCTGTGCAACCACAGTGAAAGTATGAATCATCATACTTCCGGATTGGTACTGGTTTTGGCTTTTTTACTGTAGGAAAGCCAACTCAGCTCTGGTTCCAGTCACTTCACCAGGGGCGCTACCAATAGTATCAGCACTTGCATTTAGTTTTATGAGGAAACGATCCATCTGCATTCAAATGCCAAACCTAAATAAGTAACTATAAGAAATTCAAGATGAGATGAACTTCGTTAACCTCCTCCTTCCCAAAAATAGAGAGAAGGAAATATATCAACTCAGGTAGCAGAGAAACGAAATCCAAAAAAAGATACAAAGTCACAAAAAGCCACCTTGCGCACTTGCATGATGAGGTTACCCTCACTTGCTCACGACCTCCTCTCTTGCTGTAGCTCTGTAACTGTTTCTTCCTTTGCTTCCTCTGTAGAAGCACTTCGAATGCATTCTCCGTCCCTCCTTACTCGTTTTTTTTTCCCTCGTGAGGACACATCAGGATACCATATTCTCATCCCGTTCAAGGTTTGACCACTAAAAATCTGCTACTTAAACCACCTGAATTTTCCAGGTTAACCCAAAATTCCATCTTGATAGACATCTTGTCGACTGTCTCATCTCTGGTGACTGAAAGGATTGTCCTGCGAATTTTCCTTTCTTCCATTTTTTTTTCTGTGAGAGGCTCTATCAGAGATCTGACCGGCACTGTATCGGCAATGATGTTGCTTGGCGAACCGAAGTTCCTGAGTTAGAGCATGCTTCCCTCCAGGATTAGAGACGAACAAATTTTCCGTTCGCTTAGACCGGCTTAGATCCGGCTTTTTTGGGAGACGACTGCATGCCCTCCTCCCTCCCCTCTTAGTGCACCTATGTATTGTTCCGAGCGCTATTATGTACGAAACGTGAAATTTTGATGAGGAAAAATCAATTTAAGAGAAACCTACCTGTATTCGTTCAATTGCATCCGTAACGCCCTCCCCCCCCGGTTAGGAGAATTCATCATTATAGAATTTACAGGCTGAGGAATTTTCCAGACGGTAAACTGACCAGTTGGGAAATTAACCCTCACAGATTTGACCGGACACCATAGGGGAACTAGTTATTTTACTTCAACCACGCCCCCCCCCTCATCCCTTGAGGGGTTGGGAGGTAACTCCCTCCCCTCCTACTCTCCCTAATTTTGACTCTGGCTCTTTTTTTAAAGTTACTTTTTGAAAGTTATATTCTAGATCGTGTCGTGTTATTAGTGTATTGACTTTTTTATGAGCTGCCATTGTACCTTTCTACACCAGGGACCATTTTATTCTAGGACCATATTTTTTGGGACCAATATGTCCCGGATGATATTGTCCGATTACCACGAAGCCATCATCCCAGAGAATTCAAACCGCACCCCAAATGTCCAACCGCAATATTTGGGGATTCTTCATTGGAATGTGACTGTATATAGTAATCTTCGCCAATGAATGACCCATTCCAGTGTGGGGATGGCAGTGTGAATGGCAATTCATTCGCTGCCGGCAATATTCTCGGCTTGTCAAATTCTGTGGTTCATTTCATTCACATTTTTGCAGCCTTTCCAGATCTGGCTGGGATCTGCAGCACTTCTTGCAAGATCCTCCTCGCGATGATTGCTATTCGAGCCCCCGTCATCTTGCATCGAGTGGGCGAAAACTTGAAATAGAGCTTTAGCTAACGACTAGGGGAGCGGCACCAGTTCGCGAACAGGCGCCAGATAGCGAACGGCGAGTCATGAAATGCGAGCTGGCACCATATTTCTTCGATGTCTCACTTCATCCCTTATACTGATATTCACTGGTGAAGCCTTTTTCTACATTTTCCACAAGCTCGACATGGAATGATAGTCATAGGAATGGAATGTAAAATGCATATTTGTCGTCTCCCGTGGAAAGGCAGGGATTTTTATGTGCTGTAGCTAAGACCATCACCTTCTTCACGCGTCAAACATTCCTCCACCCTGCCTTCCTGTAGTGATATGTATGTTCCTCATTGTATTTTTCCCCTAAATATTGCGATTTGAGGATTTCCCAGCTGAATGGAGCCAAAAATTGCATTTGACAGATTGCTCGCGAATTGGAACAGAATTTCAAGTCTGTGCTAGTTAGCGAACGGCTTGTTCGCAAACTGGAGCAGGCATTTCCATTTTGCGAACGTTCTGCGTGCAATGGAGTTCCATGTCCTCGATGCAAGCTGGAGAAGCGAGCCAGATCCTAGGCTAACAAGGAACATTCATGAAGTGGGACGCTCGGATTTTAACCAAAATTTGTACAAATGCAGCACATAATTATTACTGTAAATAAAATTGTACGTGCCCTCGTGGCCCAAGGACTGATTTATTACATTTCAAATTTATGAATTGCAAGAACGAAAATCAGTATAAAGATGGGAGAACCAAAGGCGTATCTCACAATGGGAGCATCTCATGAATGAGGCCACATCACATACTCTATCACCTATTAAGTTTTAACAGTTCTGTTGAAAGATGTATCATTTCGAAGCAATATTTAAATGGCGTGATATGTGCTTCGAGCCTCGTAATCCATATATCCAGCTTTGAACCGAGGATGTTTGATGAAATTGGTTCTTAAACCGAGGAGCTGAGAACTGGTTGTGGGCAATTGACTGGAGCGTGAAAATATTATCGCCTTGAAAAATATTGACTTCAAGATGATCCATGAGCATACCACCTGAAACTTTGCGGAACAAAGTCTTTCCACATGCGGAAGAAATAAACATCCAACGTCTGGATGATTCCCGTTGTTTTTGGTGGAATCTGCATTACAGCCATTGTTCTTCGGTTTAACACCATTTATTGCATCCTGATCTTTGTAGGGCCCAAGGAATCGACCAGAAGAAGAAGATCGATTTTAACTGCTAGGAATAGCACTTCTTTGAAGCACTCATCGACAAGAATTTGGGTCAGCAGATTAAAAATTAATAGATGACGTTAGTCATGTGGCCACTTTTATGAGGTACTCCCATTGTGAGCTACGCCTTTGTTCCTTTCATTTTTATATTGAATTTCATTATTACAACTCATAATTTTTTTAATGTAATAAATCAGTCCTTGGGCCAGGAAGGCATGTAAAATTTATTTACAATATTTAATAATTATGTACTGCATTTGCACAAATTTTGGCACGAATCGGAGCGTCACACTTCGTGAATGTTCCTTGTAAGTCTCAGTGATTTGGTTTCACTGACATTCTAGTTTTTCTTTCGTTATTCTCTTTTCTTCCCAGACTGTTTTCGTACCTTCACAGGAGAAGAATCTAAGAGCAGATCAAAGGTGATCTACAAAGTATTTTGTGATAGGCCGTTC